CCCCCCCTCCATTTGTACAATTTTGAATCCCTGCATCCCATGAATGCTTTTGATTAAATATGATTGATATCCAGTGCATAGTTCTACAGAAGAAGTCGTTTATAGCAAGCTAGCCAAATTGCCCCCTTTTTGGCCCGCCCCTCAGCCCATCTCTTAGTTCCAGAGAAGAAGTCACTTAAAGCAATATAGCCAATTGACCCCTTTTTGCCCCACCCCTCAGCCCCTTGGGGGGTCAGCCCCACCATTTGTACAATTTTGATTCCCCACCACGTTTCTGTATTATGGAAGAGAGCTTCATGAAGAAGTGTTTGATAATTGAGTAATTGCTCTCTCAGAGGTTTGAGGGCTACATACCCTGCCAAACAGGTGTTTGAGTGGAAGACCGGCCTTCTCCATCTCCGGGATGAGTTGTGGATTGTAGTCTTTGATCCATATCCCGAAATCCACATCTTGTGCATGTGTGATGATGTCACACTGTCTATACCATCCTAACAACACATAGTAACACCTTTCATAATTACAGATGTTGGGATATATGTTTTGAAGGGAAATGATCAGAAAATAAAAATAAAAACCTGTGTTGAAAAATTCCATGGACAGTGCAGAATGTTTTGGCAGTTTATTGACTTATGGTTTGTATGTCCAGTTTATTGACTTATGGTTTGTATGTCCAGTTTATTGACTTATGGTTTGTATGTCCAGTTTCATGTTAATTGTTTAAACAATACAGATTTTTCAATAGTATGTAAGTCAATCGTAAGTTATGATGATATTTGAACTGATAGGAATCATTATACTTGGTCTCTCAAAACTTGAACGTTTTTGAGCGATATTTCCAGTCTTACCGAGAAGTGTGCCGCTACTGATCCAGAAACGCATTCCAAGTTTATCGAAGACCTCTTTCCCTTGAGCTATGAGTTGTCTAGCTTTTCTCTGGAAGTGTTGAGCTTCGTTTGAACTATCAGGTGGGTAAGATTTGAGGAAGTTGTCTGCACTTGTGTGATCACATTCAATGTATTTGGATTGTGCCACTGAATCGAGAAACTTGGTCACTTGTTTGGGAATGTATAGAGATAAACCATCTATCACAGCTGGCTCAAGGTCAAATCTGTTGTGAACAAAGCATATGACTGATGAATTGTACCGTAACAACATTGCATTCGTGAATATCTCTTTTTGGAAATAAACACAAAATATATAAATGTATTATACCAGACATAAGTGATTTATAACATTTTACTAAATCGTGTATCAAACATGACTGTTTATAGTTCTACAATTATTGGCCTTTGGGTTGACGATGCCTACTTTTTGTACGAGCCGGCCTCATATCCAAATGACAGGTCACTGGAGGCGACCTGGATCTTAGAGTGCCACAGGAATCCAGCAGCACGTTCATACAGAATCAGCACGTGTATGGTGGGCTCCGGATGTTTCATATCCTGGAGAAAAACGTGTGAAGTGACGTGGTATGATGTGTCACCTAACCTCTCCGGAAACTCATCTATGGAGTCCACTACAACAAAGTTGTAACTCCGCAATCTGTGGAAAACCGGTCTCTGTAGAAATAAACCATATTGACCAATCAAAAACAACATCACCCATTCTTTGTTTGATGGACCTTTAGCTAAATTGGTCAATTTGTTTGAGTTTAGCCTGAACTTGCAAAAAATAATTCTAATTGAAATAACCCGAACTTGACATTTTTACCGTTTGCTGCAGCCTTCACATTTGGGGTACGGATAGGGCTAGACAGTGATGAAAGGTACACCATCTTACAAGATCATAACAATATATGCAGCTGTTCATAAATTGTTCCCAAAAAGTAGTAGGAAAAGTGAGGGAACAAGTTCTATATAATCCTTTTAGAATACAAGTTTGAACATCACTGTCAGTTTCAAGCAACATCTATTACTTATTCAACAATATATATGTTCGCTATCAACATGCCTGGAATCATGCAAGTTCTTAATTATACATTTCATCGCCTTTACCAGACTTCTGCGGGCGTTTCCTATGACACCGAAGGTGACCAGTTTTTTCTGACTCTGACACAAACTGCCACAGGTGTTGCCTCCCTGCTTGTCCTCCACATAGTCAATCAGTATGTCGGGATCAATGAGGAATAGTTTGGCATTGTCATTGTCCCAGACATCCAACAGAGCTTTTATCACTTCCTACAAGAATGAATATCATAACATACACGATTTTGATACTGTGCATTGTATATGGCTGTCAGCCGTGATTTTATTTCTCATGAATATTTAATTGACAGAAGCAAACATGAAGCATACACATGGTCCGAACTATGTTCGCTTCACCATTACCTCAAACTCCAAAGTAAATTCAGACTGGTTTTTTATTTCTTTCACAAACTAATATATTTGCAAATTATCATTGTGTTTAGGTTTGCTTTCAATATCCAGAATGTTTACCGTTCAAATATATCTCCAATAATTATATGTGTTCGAAATGCGGCCTACCATAAATCAAATTTTATGCAATTATTTACATCGGCATAAAATATCAAGAAGTGGTTCATATTTCAAGACTATGAATTCCATTGCTCCATATACATTTAAAATAAAAGTTTGATCATATACATCCTGATCACGAGGAAACTACCCATGGGTTTTCACCTTTCTAAACGTGATTTTAACTGCTATAAAATATAAGGAAAAAATAATTTCTATTAGAAACGAACTCTTCCTGTTAATCTGTTGCTAACGAAATTATGAATTTCAATGTACATTGTAGTTTAAATTACCTTCACTTTACGTGGGTTCGGCTCGCCTATCTGAAGAAAAAAAGACAGAATTTGAATCGGTTGAAATATTCTAGTTATATATATGTATATATTTATGTGGACGGCTATATTTTGGTTTATTTGGCCGACTATTTTCACCTCTGTACTTGAATACTTGAGGCTTGTCAGGACAATTTTACAGGTTTAGCCGCCATAGAACATACTCTCATGAGGGATGTAATCATTTGACAGCGAGTTTTGTCAAAGGCATACAAACAATGGTTATCTCCAGAACATAAAGAAATAACAACGCTTTTATTGTTCGGTGGTTATTTCTGATTGTTATAACAGGTCATCCTTGCTTTTTTTTCGCCTGCAATCCAATGTCCAAACTAATTGTTCTAACATGGAGGTGGAGCCATATTCTAGTTTGGAAATTACAAAAGCTTTATATTCTGTTGCTTTGGTTTGCCGACAATCAATTTTAAGATTCAATATGTTTTCATCAAACAACATGTCGGCTTTGGATGTGACCTTTTTATGTTTTTTACCTACTTCATGTTACGGTAAATGGTTACTCTTTTCAGAAAAATGAACATTTTCAAGTATATGACCATCAAGATTGTAAGAAATCTGGGTTGGTGTTCTTTATCTAAACCCTAAACGACAGCTGGTGCTTTTTGGTGAAATTGCATACCTTATGTTTTATCCCATTTGGTAAAATAGTGGAAACTGTTTTGAATTGAGCGAGTATCATAAGTAGAAAATAGCATGTGCCTATAGAGAATGCAGTAGTTATAGGCATAGCCGAAATCGACATCGATTTTGTGGAAAACTCGTACACATTTTACACCTTCGTGTGCATACCCTTCATTGGTCATTTGTCTGATGAAGGTGACAGTGTACATATCGACCAGGAGCCAAACAGGTATATTCATTATATGCAGAGAATAAGAATGAACCAGGAACATAATTCCATGATTGAGGGATATCAGTGACTGTAAGGTAACAGATCTGGCCATGAGAAATAACTGAGAAATATGGATGACCTGCCATCCACAGCATTCTAGGACAGAGGTCAAAACCATTAATGACTGATGTCCTCGGCAGATAACATCAACAATAACAAAGAAACAACAGCAGTTCATGTATGTACAGGTTCATGAACTTGTAATGAATATAAAAAAATACATAATCAATAAAAAAATACACAAAATTACATGTCTCCACTGTTCCTGTTTTGAACATCAACAGGATTTAATCTGAGAAACAGAGCTAAAAGCACAAAACTAAACTAATGTTCCTGAGCTAAAGGACAGTGATGTAGATATCATGCAAGTCCTTTAGTACCACTAATGAGTAAAATGGCCATATGATGTGCTAGAATGTTTATTTTGTTTTGCTTTCTGCATCATATATTAAAGAAACTGAGTTAAATGTGAAATGCGTTTTACCTGAAATTGAATTATAATTCTGAATATTTTTATTTAAGTTTTTAAATAAACATTTAAATGCTGAATCATCATTTTAAATTCCAAATTAAAATTTGAATGAAACTCCATAGGTTGAAACATGTTTACTTATTTTCAAAACATCAAATATTTCAAATTATTAAAACAAGAGTTAAAATTTCAAACTTTGGGAGATGTTTACGTTACTTTATTCAATTTTGAAGAATTCAAAATTGATATTTGATTTGAATTCCATGAACTTTATTTCACATTTAGTGGTAATTTTTAAATATAGATTTAACAATTTCAAATCTATGAAACTTAATAGGTTGAAACATGTTTACCTAGGACTTTTATAAAAAAAAAAAGTACCAGAAAGATCAATGCAAACTTTACTCTCAAACTCTGAATTCACATTTTTGAAATTTGAAAATTATGAATTCCTTTTTTGACAATTTAGAATTAAGAATTTAGGTAATTATTTCCAGCATCTGAAGCATGCACTCAGAAATTTCATAAAAAAGTTCAAAGTGAAGTAGTTTGTAAACTTGACCTTTGACCTGGTCATGTCTACTGAGAAATTGTATCAGGGCCATGACAGCATAATGATTCCCTATTTTTCATATAAAAAGGTATCCCAGTAGAACATGTGTATCACTAGCCTAACATGACATACACACTATGTACACATACACACTATGTACACATACACTATGTACACATACACTATGTACACCTACACTATGTACACCTACACTATGTACACATACACTATGTACACATACACTATGTACACATACACTATGTACACACGCAAAAAATGTTACACATTTTAGTAAATGGAATTGGCTATTTAAGCATTGAACTGTTTTTGTATGGTATTTATGATCTATTTGAATACCTGCTCACAAGAGAAGATAACTCTGCAATAAGCAAAGACAGAATATAGTGACAATGCCATGCAAATGTAAATATAGTCTTTATATATATATATTTGGTACAATGTATGTAACACACAATTTTTTCAACTAATAATAGCTTTAATATCATCCTGCTTTATTCCATTCAGACAGAATTGAAAGGGTCATAAATTTTCCGCCTTCACAATAATAACATACACTTTGTACAAGTTTGGTTCAACGATTGTGATATGGCAAATTTTGAAACTATTATTTGGGATTTAGATATCCAAATTGTTTTTCTTTTCCTTTAGTAATGTACCCTATACATTTTCTGTTCAATATGCATTTATTATGTAACTGTTTACAGAACATGAGATGGCAGACATAAAACTAGCATTTGATACTGTTTTGATGTAAACTGAGGTGTTAATTAAAATATGAACCGTACAGCTGGCATGTTGCCATAGTGGGAGGTACATACTTAATGTTATAAATATTGTATTAACTACGTATACAGTGAAATATAAAACAAGACGCCCATGGGCCTTAACGGTCACCTGAGTCCTACAATATTTATTTTTGTTGTTGAAATATGTACCAATTTGAGTAAAAAATACTATAATGTTAACTTAACTTTGTCAGGACCATGAGCTGATCATTCCTAGACCAATTTTAAGTGAGATCGGCCTATTAGAACTTAGTAGCAAAATAGCGGCCATGGCAGCCAAATTGTATTTCTGATTGACCCGAAAAATAACAACACTTTGTCAGGACCATGAGT